ATTTGGATTTCATTTGTTCTTGCCTTTCCAGTGCCTTTAGTTGCAGTGTTAGGTTGTTTATTTGGGCTCTTTCCAATTTTTTAATGTAAGCACTTAGAGCTATAAACTTCCCTCTTAGGACTGCTTTTAATGTGTCCCAGAGGTTATATGGTGTTGTATTGTCCTTTTTGTTGAATTCCAGGAATTGTTTTATTTCTTTCTTAATTTCTCCTTTGACCCACTCATTGTTTAGGAGGGTGTTGTTCAATCGCCACAAGTTCACATAGTGACAAGAGCTTCATTCAGTGTTGATTTTGAGCTTTATTGCTTTGTGGTCTGATAGAATGCATGGAATTATTTCAATATTTTTGTATTTGTTGAGGTTTGTTTTGTGGCCCAGTATGTGGTCAATTTTTGGGAAACGTTCCATGGGGTGCTGAGTAGAAAGTGTATTCTTTGGTGTTTGGGTGGAATAATCAAAAGATGTCTATTAGTCCATTTAATGTATGGTATCATTTAATTCAGATGTCTCTCATTTATTCTTTGTCCAGCTGACATGTCTAATGGAGACAGCAGGGTATTGAATTTCCTTTTACTGATTTGGGGTTAATCTGTGTCTTAAAGTCCTGTAGTGTTGTTTTTATGAATTTGGGTGCACCAGAGTTTGACGTATATATGTTAAAGATTGTAATATCTTCTTGGTTAAATGTTCCTTTGATCAGATTGAAGTGACCCTCCTTATCTCTTCTGATTAGCTTTACTTTGAAGTCTATGTTGTCAGATATTAGAATTGCAACCCCTGCTTGTTTCTAAGTGCTGTCTGCTTGGAATATTATTTTCCATCCTTTTACCTGTCCTTGAAGGGGAGATGGGTTTGTTGCAGACAGCAAAGAGATGGATTTTGTTTCTTAATCTATTCACTTAGCCTGTGTCTTTTGACTGGGGAGTTCAGTCCATTGATATTTAAGGTTATTATTGAAAGATGTGTATTGGTTGCCACAAAAGGTGTATATTGGTTGCTGTCATTTTGATTGTTGTTTGTGTTTTCTGTGTAATTTTGTGTTTCCTAGATTATATCTTTGTTTATTTTCTTTCGTTGCCCCTAGGGTATAGTTTTTTCTCTCTGTTCTCTGTATTGCTTCAAGTATTCTTTGAAGGGCTGGTTTTGTGGACATGTATTCTTTCAGGCTATTCATGTCATGGAAGATTTTCCTTTCCCCCTCAACTAGGATATCATGCAAGATTTTTTCTTTCCCCCTCAACTATAATAGACATTTTTGCTGGGTATAGTATTCTGGCCTGGCATCTATTGTCATGTAGAACTGGAAATACTTTGGTCCAGGCTCTTCTGGCTTTCATGGTTTGCACTGACAAGTCAGCTGTAGTTCTGATGGGCTTTCCTTTGTAGTGACTTGTTTTTCTTTTGCTGCTTTCAGTATTCTCTCTTTGTTCTGTACATTTAGTGTTTTTCTATGATATGTCATGGGGAGGTTCTTTTCTGATCCTGTCTATTTGGTGTTCTATGTGCTTCCTGTATTTGTATGGTGATGTCTTTCCTTAATTTTGGGAAATTCTCTTCTACAATCCTGTTTAAGATCTAGTCAACACCATTAACCTGAAATTCTTCTCCTTCCTCTATTCCTATGTTCCGTAGACTTAGTCCTGTGTTTTTTTAAATTTTCCATACTCTTCACTTGAGTGGTCGAATTCTTCAATTTTATCCTCCAGTGTTGATATTGTTTTCCATTTCATTCATTCTAGCAGTGAGGCTTTCCCCTGTTGTTTCAAGTTGGCTTATTGAGTTTTGCACTTCCTTCTTTTCTGCCTGAGTTTTCTATCTCTTTTGTGAATTCATTCAGAAGTTTATCCCTATCTTCTTTTAGCTCTTTGATTTGTTTGTTCATGCGTTCTTTAAATTCATTGAATTCCTTGATCATGTTTATGATTGTTCTTATAAATTCAGTGTCCTGGGTTATCTCTAGGGGGTTCTCCTCATAGAACTCTTCTACAGAATTGGTGGAGTTTGGTGGGAACTTCATGTTTTGGCTTTCCTTTTTATTATTCTTTCCTTTTGATTTTGGCATGTGAATTTCTCTTGTCATTTACGATTCTGATATGAGAATTAAGTTAAAATATGCTTCTGTTTGTGTTATCTGAGCGCCTAGATCCTTCATAGGTTATGTAAAGCTCAGGTTTCAGGTTCTCTTTTGGAAGGAACCAATTCAGGTTCTTGTTAGGTACACTCAGGCTTCCTTCACCATGTGGATTTTGTTGTTTATGATTCCAATATGAGAATTAAGTGGAAGCATGCTTCTGTTTGTATTATCTAGGTGCCTAGATCCTTTCTTTATTGGTTATGCAAAGCTGGTTGGTGCAGGGTTCAGGTTCTCTCAGGTTTCATTTGGAGGGAACTGATGGCTTCAGAACAGCTATTCAGGAGTACCCACAGAAGGCCAATTTACGTTCCAGTCAGGTATACTCAGGTTTCCTTCACCACGTGGAGGCAGGATCCAGGCTCTCTCAGGTAGTCCTGTGAGTTTTCAACACTATGCCAGAGAGAGGTCTGCTGAGATCCTAGCCTTAGCCTACCAAAGCCAGATCTGCCCTGGAGCCTTGGGAGGGGCCTCACAAAATTCCAGGTAGGGGGACGGTATGGTGCAGTTAGGGGAAGCTCACCACCAAGTGGATGCAGGATCCAGGGACTGTCAGGCTGTCCCCTGGGTTCTCAGGCCGTGAGTTTTCAACACTATGCCAGAGAGAGGTCTGCTGAGATCCTAGCCTTAGCCTACCAAAGCCAGATCTGCCCTGGAGCCTTGGGAGGGGCCTCACAAAATTCCAGGTAGGGGGACGGTATGGTGCAGTTAGGGGAAGCTCACCACCAAGTGGATGCAGGATCCAGGGACTGTCAGGCTGTCCCCTGGGTTCTCAGGCCCTTTGGTAGTTGGAGGCCAGAACCCGGCACTCTGGTGGTCTGCTGAGCTCCAAGCAGCTACCCCAATGGAGGTCTGAATCCACCCTCCTCGCTACTCAATTTTAAGTTTTCTTTTGTTTCTGCCATGTGAGGAGTCAAACTCAAGGATTCAATCTTTCTCTTTTTTTGAGACAGTGTCGCACTATATAGGCCTGGCTGGCCTGGAACTTGCTATGTAGACTAACTAGCCTTGAACTCATAGAGATCCATCATCAGCCTCTGTTTCCTGAGTGCTGGGACTAAAGCTCACTCTTGTACTGTAACACTGAGCTACAGCCCCAGTCCCATTTTTAAGGCTTTGAAGAGAGACATTTAAAAAAAATTTTTTAAAGACAACTGTTCCCAAACACCCCAGGTAAAGGTTGTGGATGACTTCCAGGCTGAGCCTTCTAGGATGCTGCTCACTAATGTCATTCCCTTGTTCATTTACTCCTGTATTCATTCCTCAGCATCTATTTAGTGAATGCTCCCAGAGTCCAAGGTTGCAAGGACTACAGTAAATGGCCAGTGGGGACACAAGAGCAGCTGGACTTGGCTCCTTGTTAGCCATTCTGAGCCTGCTGTGAGGCTGTTCATGGGAAGGTGGCTGGAAAGGTACATATGTGACTCAGTGAGGAGAGAGAAGGCCACAGTGGCTTAACTAAGCGACACAGTGTTTGATGGGTGATTTGCAACGGAAGCTGTGAGAACAAACAGTTCCCTGAAGTGAGTCAGATGCAGCCCTTGAGGCCTGAGTGATGAGGTGGCCAACAATTCGAATAAAGATGCCCAAGCCAGGGAGATTGTTCCAGACTTTGGAATACATTCCAGCAAGCTTTGCAGTCATGAGTGTGAGCCAGTGGCTTCAACCACCGCCATTTGCTACATCTCTGGGGTTTCTTGTCTATGTACCATTCTTAGAAGCCAAGATCTGCTAGGCTCAATCTGGATCTACTTGCTGAGAGCCTGGTGAGATATTGCTGGGAGGCTGCCCTTGCAGAGGATTTAAGTGGCCCGGAGTCCTGCAGGCCACTGGTGGTTACACCAATGTCTGGAGGTGGAAGCAGAGAAGCAAGGAGGGCCTGTACTATGAGCACGGGGCTGGGTCCTCATCCCTACACAGAGCTCACCCAGTAGGTTCTCAGTTCATATTTGTTAAAAGAATGATAGAGGTCTGGTGGAAGAAGCGTGCAGTGCAGTGTGAGCCCCAAGGGACACAGGGAGGGCTTCCTGTAATGACATTTGCTCTGGAACATGGAAACAGGAAAAGCATTCAGGCCACGCTGTGGTTTGCTTGTTTCTACAAAGGAAGACATGACAATACCCCCCCGCCCCCACCCCCCCACCACCACACAGGGAATTAGAAAATCCTGCATTGGAATTCCCAAAAGCTCCACAGTTGAGATCCTGCTTGAATCGTTCTGGTTGGGGCAAGGCCCAGCAGCTCCAAGCACACAGTAGGTGCTCAGTAATGAAACAGTGTGGCCTCTCCCTGCAGAGTTGCAATGCCTTCTCCCTAATCCCCTCCCCTCGGCACTCTTCTGGGGAGGGCTGATTCGGTTTTGCAGCGCAGCTCGTGCTCCGGCTTTGGCTCTAGGGTAAGATTGGAGTCAGGTTGCTGAGGACGGGTGTGTGGGATACTGACTTTGCTGCAGGGTTTAATGTTTTGAGCTACGTAGGGATGGGGAGCAGAAGTTAGCGTCCCACAGATCACTAAAACAAAATCCGGCTCGGGCACAGAGTCCGCTGCGAGCTACGCCGGGTTTTCTGTCGGAGGACGCGGGCGCGCTCGTTGCGCCTTTAAGTTTTTCTAAGCCGGGCGCCCGGAGCTGAGAGTGCGCAGGTGCGGGGACCTGGGACTCGAGGGCCAGGATCCGGGAGCTGGACCCGGGCAGCTCAGGTCCGTGAGGTGAGGTGAGGTGAGGTGAGGCAGGCGGGAGGTGAAGGCGATGGTGGCTCCTAGGAGAGGGATGAGGGCCTCCCTCGGCCCGGCCACCTGCCCCCACTTTCTGAGGCTACCCCTCAGTCCCAGCATCGCACAGGGTGCTTAATGGGTCCAGGACCCAAACCTCCCTGTTCCAGTTTCCCGCTCTGGCTCGCCTTTCAGGTTCTGGGGAGGGCCTGGGAGTCATCTAAGCCGGGTCTCCCCCACTTTCTGGCCAGCTGCCACTCGCTTAAGCCCAGGAGCTGAGCGAGGACCGACTGAGACCTGCATCCTCTTTTTCTTCCGCCTCCCCATCCCCCGCTCCATCTAGTGGCTTTGGTCCCGCACCCAGCTGCTTCCTTCTCCCTGGCGAAGGGCTACAACTCATTCTGCTGCCGGGGAATTGGGGCTCCTATTGGGGATTCCTAGTGTTCGTTAATGAAAGAATTTGAAAACGAACTCAGAAGGAAGCTCAGAAGGAACCATTTCATTGGCGCTTGAGAGAAAAACAGGGCAGGAGAGCAGTAAATCTCGGTGGCTGCTGGGAGGAGGGAGACGGGAAAGAAGAAAGTCGTGCTTTGGTGCTGGGGTCCAAGAACAGGCTCAGCAATAGAAGTCTGCAAGCAGCGGTCTGGGAGTGAGTGAGGGGTGCTCTTGGGGGAAGCAGGGGCAATGTCAAGGCAAGCATACTCAGGATTTTGGCCGGTATCTGAAGAAGAGATGGAAGAGGGAAAAGTTAGCTTTTCGAGTTAGAACTCAGAAAAGAAAAGCAAGCAGGCTTAGCAGTGAAGATCTAGAAGCAACTGCCTCCCTGGAGGGCTTCTAGGGTCTGTAAGTACCTGTCGCTTAAAGGGGATAGTTATTCCTAGTATCTTCTTAGATCTGTCAGCTTTCCTGATGGTTGGTTTCCTGACCTGGGGATTGACAGGGCTCAGTAGGATCAACTCTTAAGGCAGGGGGGACAATAGTATGTCTATAATTTAAATAGCCAGGCTTTACCAGGAAGAAATGCTTTTTCTTTCTGGGCCTCAACAAAGCCTTGATACCTCCACCCTCTTCCCTTACATTTGGTACTTGAAGTCTTAAGGGCAAGTGTGAAGCTTTATTCTCTTAAAATTGATGTGCTACCAGGCAAACCCAAGGTGGGGGTCCAAGCCTGATTAGCTACTGAGCACTCCCAGAGGACCTTGTGCTCCATGTCCCCTTCCCTCCATCATGACCGATCTTCTGTACCTCCCTTAAGATCTCGCTCTTGCTAATATCCCCTCCCCCTTCAAGCAGCTCATACCCTAGCCTGTCCCAACACCCTTGTGTAGAATCCTAGAAGCTTGGCCCCTACACCCTGCAAGTCTGGTTGCTGGTCTAACCGCTCAGACAGCTGGAGCAGGCATCCTGGCATCCCCTCCTACACTGGGGCTTTCTGACTGCCTTGGAGATTGTGTAATGCTGGCTGCAGGGCAGAACACGTGTAAGATTTGCTTCAGAGCTCACAGACGTGTGTGGAGAGGCCTCATCAAAAGAGTGCTGCATGGGTGAGGGATGAAGAGACTGGGCATGCAGGGAGTATATATTTTGAATACTTTTTTTTTTAATGCCCCCAGGTCCTGGGGTGGTTAAGGAGAGGAAATAAGGAGGCGCCTACCCCAGCTGGGTCCTTGAAGCCAGCCTTCTATTCATACCCTATTCAGAAATCCCTCATGGCTGGCTGCACCCTGCTGGTAGTTAAAAACTGTTTGTAATTAATAATAACTGACATGGAGTAAGCAAGTACTGAGTGCCTTGGCCCTGCCCTAAGCCCCTTAAAGATTTCCTGCCTTACTCCCCCAACAGGCCAATGAAGTCAGTGCCCTGTTGTGTAATTCTCAGGGGGAGGCTTCCAAGATGGACCCTTCTCAAGACACACTGAGTCTGACCTCCCAGCCTCTCTAAGTCACTGACCTTTTACCCAGTTTTAATGATTAAATTCTTATAAACACTTATAATACAGGAAATTAGAGCCGTGTCACCTATGTTCTTGGTATTAGTTTACTTTTCTAAAATTAGGCTTCATGGACTGCAGGTGGGGAAGAGCAGTGTGGAGCATTTGACTAGAATGTGCTATGCCCTGGCTTAATCCCCAGCACAGCTAAATAAGGAAATGAAGGTTTCCACCAGTGAGGAAATTTTAGTACCCTTCCGAGGCCTAAAGAGCAAAGGGACTTGCTTAAAGCCAGCTAGCTAGAAAGTGCCAGGGCTGGAATGCCAAAGGGGCTCTGGGCTGATTGGTATGGTCCTTTGTTGTTCTGGCTTTTAGCTCAGGCAGCTCCCCTCCTTGCCTACTGATGGCCCTCCCTCCCTGTTGCTGTCCATATAGCTATAGTGCAAGCATGTAGACACATCTTTCTTCTACTGCTGCCTTTGCTTAGGCCCTTCCTCCTCTGGGAATGCCTTGCTGGGAATCTCTAGTCTGTCTTGCTACTCCCCCACTCCAGGGGTGCTGCTTAGCCACAGAACTCCCCTGCACTGAGCCCAAAGCTTCCCTTACCTCCCACTCCCATGATATTTGGAAAGTTCTGCTCCTGTTTATCTTTCCCTGAGGTACATTTTGTGCTGGCCTCAGGACCGGGAGTGTTCCCTGGAGGTTCCTCTTTTCTACCTGCTGGTCAAGCTCTAGGACACAGACACACGTCTTTCCACGAGAGAGGCCAAGGATAGATTGGTTTGTAAAATAACAACAGGCCCATGATTTCTGAACCCTGTAACATCAAACTCCCTCTGCCAAATCACAGGGAGAACTGCTCACTTTGGTACCTGCTATTGTAATGGCATTTTTGATTTTGCCCATAACACAAAAGATTTCCCCCAGAAAGACAGATAGAGGCCTACATCTCCTCTACTTTCTGTGTGGCCCTTGGCAAATGATCTGTCCTCTTTGAGCCTTAACTTTTGGGAACAGTCCTTGTGTTAGAGGATAGTAATAAACCTTAGATAAAATGAAGATTTTATCTAAGTATGGGGACCCTTAATATTGGGAAGAGCAGTGATAGCTGACCACTACTTTGATTTACATGAGCTGTATTTAATCAGAAATAAAAGACCCATACCCTCTACTTGAAAGTGGGCAAGAGAGTTTGGACCAGGCAGAAGTAAACAGTTTTGAACTCAGAAGGGCCTCTGAAGCTCTCTTCAATTGTAAACTATCTTTTGCCTTTGCACTAAGAGACAGAATTGGCCTTCTCTTGAAATTTTAAAATTGATGAGCTATATGTTCTGTGACGATCTGCATACTGAGGGTGAGGGCAGGAATGCAGCTTGTGTAACTGAAAGCACTTACGAAACTTCATGGTAGGAGAAAAATTTGTCCTCAGAGATGGCCTTGGGTGGCAATATGTGTTGGTACAGGCCTGTTCTGGGGCATGAGGTTAGAATCAAAGATTATCTTTGGGTTTGGGTGGAGAAGAGGATAAGTGTTTCATCCCAGGAGACTGAGCAGCTGGGAGAATAGTGTTTCCTGGTTATCTTCAGTTTTTGTGATGGGACTTCAAAAAGAAGGGCAGAGGAAGGCTAAGTGTCAGATACCAGGAAGCTAATTCTGCAGGTTGATTTGGGGGAGGGGGTAAAGGGGTACAAAATAGGGCTGTTAGACCTAAGTCCTTGCACGTTAGGCAAGTGCTCCGCCACTGAGCTACACACGTGGCCCTCTAAGAAATTAAAATTTTTAATTACATTTACTTATTCGTATGTGAGAGAATGGTGCACGCACCATGGCACGTTGGAGGAGGTCAGAGAACACTTAGGAGTCAGTTCTCTTTTTCCATGTAGATCCTGGGGATCAAACTGAGCTTGTGCGGTTTGGTAGCAGGTGCCTTTACCTGCTGAGCTATCTTGTCAGCCCTACAAAACAAAGCAAAACAAACAAAAAACACAAAAAACAACCTTTTGTTTTTGGATTTTGAGACAGGGTCTCATTAAATAAATCAAGCTAGCTTTGAACTTTCCCTGTGGCCCTGGCAGGTCTTGAACCTTGGGATCCTCCTGCTTCAGTCTCCAGAGTAGCTGGCCTGTGCTACTAGGCCTAGCTGGAATTTTTTTTTTTTTGGTCTTTTTGAAACAGGGTCTCCCTGTGGCCCCAGCTATCCTAGAACTCACTATGTAGACCAGGCTGGCCTTGAACTCACAGAGATCCGCCTGCCTCTGCTGGGACTAAAGACGTGTGCCACCACGCCCAGCTGGAATTTTTATATTTAAAATTTTGTCTGAAATTGGATTTTATTGAAGTAAAAATTGGTAAAGACTATTGAGTGTAGATATTTTAAGGCATAAATCTTAGAAATTTCACTATCCTATGAACTTTAGGAGGCTATAGAGCTTTATTTCTGTGAATCTATAGGGATAGAAATACTTTTTGGGTTTTCTAGTTAACTAACAAATCGTAGCACCAGGTGTGGTCATACATGCCTTTAATCCCAGCACTTGGGAGGTAGAGGTAGGCAGATATCTTTGAGATTGAGGCGAGCCTGGTCTACATATTGAGTTCCAGGCCAGCTGGGTCTCCAAGGAAACCCTGCCTCAAAACAAACAAAAAACTTGCCACATGGACTATTTTTTAAATGGATTAAGATTAAATTAAAAATTTGGTTCTTTGTGTTTCAAATGTCTGATGGCCACATATGGCCAGCAGCTGTGTGAGGCAGGCAGAGACCATTTTTCCCTTCCCACAAAGTTCTGAGGGATAACACTGGGTAGCTCAGTAAGGTTGCAAGAAAGCTGCCTGTTGACAGGGTTAAGTTGTCTTCTTTCTGCTAAGTCATCAGCAAGCCCAGAAATGGAGTACATAGTGAGTGTTGCATTATTAGAAAGGGGTGTCCTGAAGCTCCTTAGACTCATTTGGGATGCGTCACTGGCTTTTGCTACTGTCACGGGAGGATGGAAGTTGTCAGGTGAAATGACATGCTACCTTCTAGATACACTTAGAACCGACTCAAAGGGTTGGAATGTAGCTCAGTGGTAGAGTAC